TCCGGAGTCAAACATGGCTCTTGCAAAATAGGTTGCTTCTTGGGATGGGTCAATTATAGGTATTACGGCAAAGATACGATTTTCTTTCATTGCAAAAGTTTTAATATCGATTTCAATAGCACCTAGATCAATAACTGACTCATCACACTGTAAGCTCGGGATAGGAACAACCTTCATCCCCGAGCTACGCCATTTTTTGACTCTTCAGCTCTTCCACTCTCCTTTCCACTATCTTCAACCTCTGCCTCAGTTGTACTAACTTTTGCTCCTCTTCCTCCTCTGAACTTCCCTCTCCACCTTCCTCTAAATCCACCACCACACTCTCTTGCTCTATGACCTGATTTTCCGCACTTAAAACACAATTCACTATCCCATCTACGCTGATACTCTTCATTTGAAATGTTAAAGCGGTACGCCGAACAGTCCATAGCATTGGGGTCTACCGTTGATTCTTTGATTTCATTTAAACTAGTATCCTCTGACCGCTTATGTAAAATGTTGTCTATCTTGATTGCTAACTCTGAAATTTGATCTAAATTTTCAAACGTATCTCTAACCATCTGTACTTGTATCATAGGTTTCAAACCTTGCCGAAATTGAGTGATTAAAATTGATTGAGGCCATTTAACAATGAGAGCGAGATTGGTGAAAGCAAGTGAATAAGCTAGTACGGTTCCAGTTTGTTTCAAGGCTCTAATTCCTTGCTCAGCCTTTGCCACTCGTTCAGAATCAAAAAATGTAGCCTCAAATGATTTACTAAAACCATCCCAAGTGATCTCACTCCCTTCCGCACTTATTAGCTTTTTCGTGAAAGGTTTTGCCCACTCGCCACCTTTACCAGTCATATAAGATAACGTCCACCCTATTTTCGTACGGTCATCGGGGAACAGAGTGGGATTCATTAAGATGTATAACCCTACTTGATTTGCAAATATTTCTGCCTTGCTTCCTCTAGTTCCGTCGAACTTATCGGGCGTTGCGACTTTTGGGGTTTTGGCTACGACGACGGGTTGGGGGGCTTGTTGAGGGACCGTATGCGGGGCAGGGGGTGCTTGTGGTGCTTGCACGTTAGCAGGGTTAGTTTGAGCAGTGGTAGACGTTGCAGCTCGTAATTCCGCTAATTCCCGTTCAGCATTTTGTCTCAATCGGGATTCTTCTGCCAGCCTTAAATCCATGTTCGCCAAACGAGCTAAGATCTCAGCCATTGGGTCTGGTGGGTTGATCGACATTTCAACAGATTCTGCCATATCTTCTTCTTTAGCCTCCAGCAATACAGCCGTCTCGAAACCAGTGGTGTGTGTTGGAGTAGGGCTGGGGGATTGGCTTCCGGGAACAGTAAAGTTGGGCGTCGTGAACTAGATTAGGTTGATTAAGGTTGTCGATCCTTGAAATTCCGATTACTCTATTGGTCTTTGGGTATTGAGGGGATTTAAGGTTGAGATTTAAGGTTGGTAGCTGCAGCGACTTCTTGTTTCTAACTTTAATCTTCTAACTTTGATTTTCTTCGATCTTCGGTTTTGATTTCTTTCGCTTTAATATCTTTTGAACTTCTAATTTTCTTTCTTCTTGCTTCTCCTGATGTCGTATATAATTTAAGACGCTTCAATGTGTTACGGTTGTGGCTTCTACGAGATCAGGTATGCTTTACTATTATAACAAGATTGAAGCGTGAGGATACAACGAGTAGAGAACCGCGCGGAATCCATGGCGGCGAGGTTGTACTCGATACAAGCATATTCCCAGTATAGGGATCATAACACCCAATCCAATGTCCCGTGTATTGTGATCTCCCCAAATGAACTGACGGTCGCCATGCACTCCCCTTCTGGGGAAGGTGGCAAAGGTGGAAATACAACAAAGATTACCACAGGCCCATGGAGAGCCGTCATCGGGTGTGCCCCGTCATTCCTCTTTAAAAAATCCGCGGAAAGATTGACAAATGATATGAGCTGGCTCAACGTTAATTCCTGATAGGTATCAGGGTATAATGTGGCCAGCCGTGACATAAGGACTTTGACAAGCATTATGTGCGGAAGTTGAAGCTGAAGATTATATGAATAGGGTCCAAAGTGATGAGTACGAGAACGACAGAATCACTTTTATGGAAGGCGGATACGAAGTGCTACGAGGTGATTTGCTTAAGAGTAAATAAAAGCAAGACCAGTTCTGTCTGTAGCCCAGCTGGTACGAAAAGCTTCAAACAAAAGGTTTGAGAACAATGAAATCGAATCAGAGCGGAGATGAATTGTGCCATATGCTGAGATTCAGATTTCACAAAACAGTTTTCAGTTTGTACTCAATGTTTTCTCTTTGGGTGTACGTGCTTCTAAAGGATGTGTCCCCGAGTAGACATTTCTAATTTTAATGTTCTATCATCGGCGAGCAATTCCTATTGGTTGGAGTGCTCCTTCATTTGTGTTGTGACGGGCAAGACCAAATGGAACGTTCGTTTTTGAACGTTTGTTTTTATTTCGCATGAAGTCACATCGCATTGTGTGCGTTTGACAAAAGTTTCAATATGGTGTAGTGAGGTATAGTATGGGGATTTGAAAACGCGATTATAACTGATTGAATGGACATTGGATGAGGACGATGTAGGAAGGTTTGGTGCAGTTTGGTGCGGTTTGGTGTTGCTATGGACTGAATTTGTTATTTGTTGTGTATCCGACAGTTTGGCAGATGGAGGCGTGTGACACGCAGGGATATTTACGGTGGCTCTAAAGTGCCACTCAAGTCACATCGTCAAAATTGACAAAACTGACTCTCCTGACCCGAATTCAGCCCCGGTGAGCAGGTGCCGACCCTGGACAATGTCCAGACCCGTGGGAATCCTCAATCTCATTGAGGACCCAGTCTTCTTATCAGCACATTTTTGTGTTGATATACAAGACTTTTATGAGGATTGAGCAATGAAAATGAAAGAAGGACTAATTCTTCAAGGATCTGAACACCTTGTTCCAATAAGTCGGACATTGACAAAAATGTAGTGAATTTTCAATCTCGAGCCGGGCAACCAGCAAAATGTATCTCAATCGGTGAATTCCAATAAGGGTATGCTACGTCTATGAGCTGAAAGAGATGAAGTGACTTTAATTGCTAGGAAGACCAGCAGTTCTAAAGAGAAAGAAAACGGAAAAGAAGGATCCCTGCGATAAAATTGTCAAAGAAAATCAATCGCTCAAATGATGTATGTTGTAAGGGCTTCACTAATGTCTCGATTTTAGAGCTCATCAGAGTCATCATACTTGAACAAGTCTAACTCTTTTTTCTTTCCTCCGCTGAAGTCGGTGATGAAAGATCGGTGATGATAACGTGATGGAGAATGAGATGATGTGGCCGAACGGGGTCGGCCAGGGTCGGCACTAGATCAGCGGACCTCTTCTTGGGGTCTGGAAGGTCATTTTTGTCATTTTTGACAATGTGACTCAAGTGGCACTTTAGAGCCACCGTAGATATTCAAATACATGTGAAATGCCCCTGTACATCGTGTGAAATGACCAGCGGCTGGCCAATTTCGCTGGCCGGCCAGAAGGGTCGCACAAGGCTTCGGTTTCTCTGCAGCCGGTACCCCTAGGCTAGACTCGTCTTCGCGCCAGAGAGCCAAAAGGTATTGCTTGCCATATCTCTATGTACCACAAATGTTTCGGGAGGCATTGAACTGATCAATGTCCCTTGCGATTAGTCTAGGGAGGAAGAGGATCTGTTGTGTTCTGTTGTATTGGACGAATGATAAAACAGGAGTGATGCACCTCGGAGACTGGTCAATACTTCCGCACCTTCATGAATTTTCATTCGTGAAACTGTGTCAAGTTGTCTCGTGAATTCATGAGCCTTCAAGATCGTCGCGCGCCCCAAAATAGGCATGACAGCCACAATCACTCCAGAACAAGGACACTTGCACGTGCTCTAGTGTGTTCAAACTTCAACCAATAGCATCTCGATCAGCAAAAAAGTCCAGACTTTTGAAAAGACCATGTGGATTTTCTCCTTTGAGTGAATTCGACGTTTGAGCTTCAGTTTATTTGCCTCCCCCGACTCTGCTTTTCCTCTATCAACGTTGTCAAATCGAAATACCATTTACTTGATTGCCACAGCTGGTCAGATAGATTTTTTCGCGGGGTCAATTTTTGATCAGTATCACGATGAGTTCTAGAATTATCTCCAAGTGGCTTGGGATCGCCTTGTTGGTTCAAAGATGTCTTGGCGCAGAAACACCTCGGCAGTTTCAAGCTTCCAAAGGGTCGGGTGCCAGACTCGTTTTTGCACATTTCATGTGAGTCAATTTCTTGGAAATATATGGCAGCTTCAGTGCTTGTGGGGAGAAAAATTCTAACATGATAAATTCACGTTATCGACAGTGTTGGGTTGACCGTAAATTACACACGCGAAGATTGGCATGCACAGATTTCACTGGCTGGAGGCATTGGATGCGATGCCTTCGCACTCAATGTAGGGAATTCTGACAGCTGGCAATTAGATCAGGTCTGTAATCATGACTACGAAGGCGATATCTGCATCGGTCATTAATTAATCAATCCTTAATCATTTGGATTGTTTGGATAGGTATCTTCAGCCTACGAGATGGCCCAACAGGTTAAGACGTCTTCGGGACAACCCTTTAAGCTGTTTCTCTCCCTTGACAGTTCAGTCGAGTTTTCTTCGCGGAATGATCAGAAATGTGCGGATTTTCTGATATTCAACTTTTGAGCGCGTATTTTTATCAGTGTCGGTGATACAGTCGGCAATGGACGTTTCTAAATGGGTTGAGAAATTCCTGCCTATGCCGTCTCAGCTCGGTACGCCAATCTTCGTCTTACACTCCACTACCGAGGTTCTTACATACCTGATCTAAGCTTTACTGGGCGTATTACCAATGGCGAAGTGATCGATGGGCGTCCACTGATATCAACATTCGCAGGAGAGAACAATAATCTGGGAGGTTCGTCCACGAGAAGAGTTAAAAATTACGGATATTGATGGATCAATATTCTTCACCCTCGATGGACGCTATCATAGGATCAAGCTTGTCGGAAGGCTGGAAAGAAGCGCTAAAAGATCCATTGCTATCTCTCAATCCGCCAATCAATCCACTTTTTGTTCCAGCTTGGCCGAGTTTAGACGTGCAGAGTGCTGTGTCAAATAATCCCGTGGTAGACGGTATGATGTCTTGGCTGTCATGGTATGTTGGGTTATTTCTTGACAAAAGATTTCATACCCGAAAATCACGAGCTTAACAGTCCACAAATCCTCCAGGCCCAGCGGGACAGAAAACATGACCACGAAGGTAGATCTTCAGTTCCAAAAAAATGCGAAAAGTGAAAACAAGGTATGAATTTGATTGATAAGTCTCTCGAATTCAATGAACTTGAAAAACCATGGACTCACAACAAACAATATATCTCTTCAATAGGTATACATGGCAGGAGTTAGCCCATGCTTTTACACTCACTACCCAGAGAAGAATTACCTATTTAGATCAGTATGTCATTCACACTCCTCGTAAAACTCTCTGAAATCGACTTACGGATGACGCATGGATATATAGGATGACCATCTTTACATAAAACGATGGAAAGAGTTGATAAATATGCCTACAGCTCCCGACTTTATTGAGATCATCTCTTGGAATGACTATGGTAGACTATTATCCAAACTACTTCTTTTGTCATCTCATAGACACCGTTCAGCAACTCAAATGATTGTGACTCACCTACTCCTAACTCACTTCCCAGGTGAATCCCATTACATTGGACCCATCTACAGTGTGGTTCCAGACGGTACAACTTGGGTGTCAGCCATTCCAAAGATACCTTTCAACGAGATAGGTCTAGTGAGCTGATATGAAATAAGAATTCAATTATAGTAAAAAATTCGAGCATCAGGCTTGGCTATCAATGACAGAATATTTCATCAAGTGGTATAAGAGCGGAACTCAACCTCCAATGACTGCTGAACGCGTCTACTTTCATTATCGTCCCCATTCCGTCAATGCAGTAGCCTGTGCGTATGAAGAATCGTCTTTCCAAAACTTAAAGGCGTTATATTGCGCTTATATGTCGGCTTGAGGACTGATCTTCTTCCCGAAAATTCGCAGCTTCCGACTCGCTAGGACCTCCCGAAAACAAAGCTGCTACTACAGACGCTGTCTATGTAGCTACATTTCTGCCAAAACACTCCGCTGCACGACAACTGAGAGTTAAAATTGGAAACACTTCTCTTCAGACTTTTGATAATTTACCTTTGGGTGATATTGGATTATTTTCCATACCATGGACAGGATCTGGAGGTGTGGTCACTGTAAGTGTTAAAGATGGTTCAGGAAATAACATATTGAAAGGAAAGGGAGACGTTGAGATTAGTAACACAATCAAAACATACAACTTTAGTGAGTTAACTTGGTGCTACTTTCGATCTCAACGTATTATGAAAACTGAATCATCGTTGGACAAATCTATGATGTAGATTACGCACACACTTTGTTAGCCAATGATGATTGCCCCCACCTTTCAGGATCTTTAACATCATCTCCTTCTACCTCACCATTGAAGGCTGGATTACCCTCAAACAGTGCAGCCAATGTAATCAGAACGCACATGTCACTTCCAGTCTCAGCATTGGTCTGCTTCTACTTTATTGCATCCTTATATGTCTGATTTGAAGAATCAGAAATAGTATATTTTCATCGTTTGATGCTTTCCATCTCGCGTACAAATCTCCTCTTTGCTTAGAACTCAGTAATATTGTAAAATCATCAACTACCCATAAAAAACTCTCGAGCCTACTAACACAATTTTGTTTAGCCGTGCTCAAAGAGTTGCGCGTATGAGCTCCAAGTCTGAGTGAATCAAACTCAAGAATCTTGTGCGACTAATGATAAATATTCTGATATGTTGAGATTCTTTATCCTTCATCAATGGCATATATAGCGTGAAAGGGACCGCGAACAGGAGAATCACAGAATAGGAGCAGATACAATTGAGTCAACAAGGGGTTTCATAATATCAGGGGTGAGGATACAAAAAGACTTTCAAGTAGTCATACCTTACGAATACTTCAAGCCCTTGTAACTTAATGGAAGTGCAAAGATCATAAACCCATTCACATTTGTCATTTCCTGCAAACTACCATTCAAGAGGAATTTGAGTTGATGGAAGTTATCTAGTGGCAATTCTTGTCCTTTTCCACATTTCATGATTCTTGATCAGATTTTAAATAAAGTTCCAAACTCATTGCATGTTAGTTTACAACTCAGCAACACGTAGTTTTGCGGCGGAGAGGACTCCAGCCATGAACTCATGTTCACACTGTGACTGGAAAGAAGAGGCTCAGGCTGACCGGAGTATCCGGCCAATGCGGATATGTATGGCTCCAGCCCCGGATTTTGCCCGAGCCTTACCCGGGGTTGACGCACGCCCCCGGACAGACACTTGGAAGAAGGGGGAGTTGATTTGATCCTTGAAGATGACTGATGAGTACTCAGCAAAATGGAACTGGATATCTCAACGCCAGACTTTACGCTTTCCAACTCATATGAGACTCTTCTCGATGAATCATTATCAGATATTACGATCGATCAAAGACTTCTTATGGCTCAGGCCGTTCATTCAGTTCAACCTAGTGGGAATGTGGATCATACATTTGATTGGACGAGAGTAGTAGCTTTACTACAGAAATATGCCACAGATGGTAGACTTCAATTCGATAGTCGAGCGTTGTTGGATCCAATGGTCGGAAATCTTCCATCGAACTTGTGTTTTTCACATACTCGAAATGGTAGCTCATGACCGTTTCGCATATCACTTTAGGCATGTTGCGATGCTTACGGAAACTTGTGTCAAAAGTATTTGACGGAGCACAGTGACCTTTCACAATCGGATTCTGCCCTGGCACTGGCTAGAAAACTATACGAAGTCAGAATCGATGGCATCAGTGCAGCGCTTATGGCTGAAGAACAGAAATGTAAGACTCTGGCTTCTGAGATTGAAGAAATACAAGGGGGAGCATGGGATGATCGGTTGAAAGATCCGAGCCAACTGAGGCAAATCTTAGGTAAGGAAAATCGACGTGGACTAGCTATGATTAAAATCACAGAATTGTTCTGACTTCAAGTCACGGGATAGATGAAATGGGACACGTGAAGATAGATGGCGACGAAGAAGAATTTTCAGCCGAATGTATTGAACCCAATAACGACGCCCTGCGTATGTATCTCGTCGCGTTTAGCTGAAAGAACTGCTGTCCATAAATAATTACATGTCTCTGACGCGTCGATGATCTTGACCGTATATAGAACCCCCTCATTCTCGTTCCACGACACCATTGGACGACGAGGAATCGGGCAGCATACAACCTGAAGCAGCTGTAGCCAGTCCATTACTTTCTGAGCCGTCTAGGAGGTCTACTCGGAAATCCACAACTCCGAAAGCTTTCCTTCAAGTTCCTGTGACTCGCAAACGAAAAGCACGATCAGAATCTCTTTCTTCTGCCAAAACAGATTCTACAACAGCTTCGAAGAAGAAACGCACAGAATCAGCCTCTCCAAGCGTCGAATCACCTCGAGAAGAAGTCGCAAATGTTCAACAGAGTCCAGTACGAATGGTGACAAGAACTAAAAAGAAGGCCAATTCACAATCGACAAGTAAAAAACCAACTCCTTCAAGCAAACGTCGCGAGCGAATACCATCTTCGGCATTACCAAGTCCCGACGTGGATGATGAAATTGTTTTACAGCAACTCATTTCAGAGCGACAATCGCCAACGCCATCTGCAAGCACGACCCGTTCGGGAAAAACTAGTCAAAGAAAACAAGCCAAGAAATCAAAGGGGAATGAACGCTCAAAGGAACTTGATCCTGAAGAATGTGAGCTATTTACCTTGCCCGCACCTATTCTGGCGAGCTCAGCCTTACTGACAGTAAGCGAAACGCCAATCTCTTTAGGCCCGGAGGTGGAGAAAGCCACCAATGTCCTACAAAGTCCCGATATTGACCCACGTGCGTCACGCTCTTACCGACCTGTGATTTAGTGTGCGTCTCAAGTTGTCACTCGCTGATGTTCATCTTGTAGATCTGCTACCTGATCTAACGAAAGAAACCGTATGCAAAGACGCCAAACTGGAGACAAACAAGCAAGCAAGTGAACCTCCTCGATCTGTGGCAATAAATAGCTTAGGTTTACAAGATACAGATGCAGAAAGAACTCAGGAAGGTGATGGGGGAGAAACCGCGAATGGTGCCCAGTCAACAAGTCATTCACCCGTTTCGGTGAGGAAGGGACAAATCGAAACAGAGCATCAGGCGGATGAGAGCAAAGCCGGAACGCCCAACTCGGTTTGTGAGTGATCTTCCCTTGCTCATGATGATACGTAACTGTTTAATTTGAATTTCTGATCTTTCCGATGTGGTGAAATTTCTTAGCATTTCCAACTGGTATCACAGATGGATCTTCTACAGCCCAGCAAACCCCGATTTCTTTAACTACTCCGATTCCGCAGATGGACTCAAACCACCTAAAGGCTACAACCACTTCCGCCGGTTCTTCAACGATATCTGATCCTACCTCATTTCGACGACGAATGTTGAAGACACATGCATCTGTACAATCTAATCCAATCTCAGCAGTCTTTAGAGAACCAGTAAAAGACTCGGAAGCACCTGGTTACTCTTCTATCATTAAGAGACCCATGGATTTACGTGGACTAGCTAAAAAGTTGAGAGATGGAAATGTAACCACTCCAGAAGAGTATCGCAGAGATTTAATGCTTATGTTGGCCAATGCCGTGATGTTCAATCATGAAGGTAGTGAAGTGGCTAGACATGCTAAAGAGTTATTGATTGAATGTGATAGGTCAGACTGACTTCTTTATCGAGACTGCTATGAAACTTAAAACTGACTGACTTTAATTTGTGCTCATCATCAGGCTCCTTACAATTTTTATGAGAGGAGCGAGGTATTAATGGGCTAACTGGAAGCATTTGGTAAAGTTGCTTGCAGGAGACTATATGTACTTGTTAGAGTTTGTGATTAAGATTCTTTGATATGATAATGAAGATTTTACATTTTGATGATTTCTCAAGAAAAAAGAAAATTTTGTCAAGAACATCTTTTTACAATGCGGATTCTCTCACAGAAAGAACTAAAAATCAAAATCCAGACGAAGACTAAAAGGATGATACAAAAAGATCAAGAATCAAGATTTAGAATGTGTCAAATCACCTAAAATCATCAAGATATCATTTATAAGTTGAAATTGATCAGAAGAATCCCAAGAGTTTTGTAAAAGCAAACTTTCTCGTTGATCATTGTCAAGTAGTAAAAGATCTTGAAGATTTAATTTAGAATTTCGTTTTTGATTTTGAAATTGATAAGGTTGTTGATCAAGTTGAGTAGAAGATAACGTTTCTAAAGTATCTTCTGAATCTTTGGATTCATTATCACTATCAAAACTATGATCAGTTTGTAGAACTTGGAGTCTTTTTCTCAAGATATTTGAAATTGAATTTCGATTCCCTTCGATTGAATCAAGTGACGTTATTGATTTTGGTTCAACCTCTTTTGCGAAAAAATCGTCGGCGGGTTCTGAAATGGCCAATGGAACGAATGTTGAGAGTTGATCATTCTGTCGAAAGAAAGTAGCTAAATTTTGATGATTTTGAAGCATCGATGGTTCTGATGATAAATTTGTTCTATAAACTTCTCTTTGAATTGGTTCTTCATTCAAATCCATTCGATGTTCATTTATAATCAAGTTTAAATTTCTTTCAAGTTGGTCAAAGACATAAGTTTCTTCGAATTCGAGTTCTTGAATTAATTTTTGAATGATTTTGATTAATTCATTCGATTCCTCTTGATCATTTTGTACATCTAGTATATGATTCAAACTTAATTCTTTCTACAAACCACAAGGCAAAAGAGAACCAAAACAAAATCAGTGTTTGACGACACATCATGGATTATTCGATGCTTTGAAGGAAGATTTTTACTTACTGTTTTTATGAATGATTTATATTTGTTTAAAAAGGTTGAAAGCGATCTATATGGCCAATGAAAACTTGGTTGATTGCGTACCATCTTCAAAGCTGTTGATTGATAGATGCCTTCGTTGAAAAAAATATGATATTCTTGTAAGTGCTTTTGGGCAGTTGAGAAAAGTGATTAGTGATTATGAGTTGTTGTTTTTCTGGTTCTTGGTACAATGTATATATAGAGAGATCAAAGTTATAAGAGAAACGGAGATATATATTTCTTAAAGGATGAAGCTTTTGATAAAATTCCTCAAACTTTCAACCATCCAAAAGTTTAAGTAGTTTGAAAAAAGTATACCAAACTTTCTTTTGCTGGCACTCCAAATGTCATCGAAAAAGTTCAAAAGCCTAGTGACAGGGATGTTTAGAGAAGTTTAGATATAGTTCATGATCAGTCTTAAGATAAACAATTTCATCATTTTTAACCTCAAATGATCTGCTTTTTTCAATCAAGTACGAACTGATCTGAACTGATCATACAAATATTGATTGGGTGATCTGATCTCAAAAATACCAATGAGGTCATTCAAAAGACCGAGTTATTTTTTGGCTTGATGTGCTTGATCACGTTGCAAATTTATTTTGGTCGCAGTCTAATCATCGATATAATTTTTTTATCAAAGTTCAAAGGTTTCACGTACGCTTTTTCGAAAACAAGCTCAAGAAAGCAAGATTTCGAGGCTAAGTCTAACTTTATCGTAAATTCCTCGAAGCGCGGCGTCCTTGCAAGGTCCCATCCCGTTGTTGCTCATCGTTGGACTTCTGTCATTACCAAGCTGGAGACAACGCAGCTTTGGTGGAGGCAGGAGACGTACGGCCTCAAAGTGCAGGCCGACAAAAAGCGTTCTCCCAACGGGACTCGAACCCGTGACATTAACGTCTCTTGCGAGATTGTGCTACCAGGCATATTCACTTCCGAAGAATGTGAGGATATAAGCATTACGCTCTACCAACTAAGCTATGGGAGAAGATAACATCTAGATTTGACTAGAAAATTTGATCCATCAAACTTCTATTTAATTTGAGAATAATGTAACCAAGATACATTTTCTAACCTTTCAAACGTCCGCATGATCTAATCTTTTGTATTATGATATCGATTGGAGTTGAATCAGTGAACTATCACCAGAAATTAAAGGGTCTTGAATATTTACTTCATTTTTGAACGTCGTTCTCATCTGGTTTCAGTTGACAATTGACAATTGAAGAAAGATTGATAAGTGAATGAGATTGTGAGATAACTGAAATAGATTGATATTGATCATTGATTGGTTTAGATAACAGCGGTATAGCAGCAAGGAATTGAGTTGCGTTACTGTAGGTGAAAAAGAAACCAAAGATAAATAGAAGCCAATCTAAATGCTACGAGTGCAATTTGGGAACGGGAAAAAAGACAGTACTAACCAAGCAGATATTTTGAGAATTACTCTTGTTAGATTAGAATTAGGCTTGTGTGTTGTCCAGATGAGAGATAATTCATTGGATGATAAGGGACCAAAACAATCGTTTTGTAATTTTTTGATGATGGGTAAGAGACTAATTGAATCTGGTGTAAAGGATGGAGAACTAAGAGAAAAAAACAGAGAGTGAGTCTTTGTGAATTCGTTGGATATCAACAGGTTAAACGGTTGATGAGATTGCTTACCATTGAATTTGAAGTAGAATATAATGATAAGGAAAGCTTGAGATTGAGAGTTGATGCATCGAAAGAGTCATAAAGTTGGAAGATGAACATGGAGAAGGGGCTGAGCTTGGTGGAGAAAACTTTCAAAGTGTTTGGTATAAAAATCAAAATCTTACCCTAACAATCCAAATACAACCTCACATCATTCCAACTTGTTCTTGACCCTTGGATCGAGAACTTCACCTCAACTACATACGATCGAAAACATCCAAGGGCGTCATCAATCGAAGATAGCTTCAATAAACATCCATCATGACTATCTCTGAGGAGCAATCAAGACCCGACCCAATTCTCTTATCGTTATTTGCTAACAGTAAGTCATTTCTTTCGACATATGCGATAACCTCACTTCACAAGCTGATCAGAGTCCTTATAACAGGGTTCATGTCAGTAGCTGAGGTTCGTATCACTCAAATATGATGATAAATGAGCATCGGGAACCATGTACCATTCATATTGATGGACTACGAAGATACCCCTTGACAGGCTATGGGTAGAAGTCTTCAACAAACTTCAATTAGTACGAACATAAAGTAAAACAACGAATCTCTAAAGATGTGCATTTCTTAATGGAAGATTGATCGACCTTCTCTTGGGTTCATCCATAGGGAAAGACTCGATTACTCCTGTGCTATTTTTGCGCCCAATGGTGACCTTGTTGCGAACGTTTGTAACTTCAACTTGGTTCACATTGATTGATCGAGCTCTCAAAAAAATATGGCAAAATTGATACCATTTACCAATATACTCAATGTTAGGCTCCACATCTTCCTGTTCATCTTGGTTCCATGTCATTTGCAGTAAGATACCAAATTAAGCTTTTGAAAGGTCAACTTTATCCTGGCGATGTGATCATGGCCAATCATCCGAACGCAGGAGGTAGTCATCTACCAGACATCACTGTGATCACACCAGTATTCAATGATGACAAGCTAGTCTTCTTCACTGGTCAGTTCTCGTGTTCAAATCTCATCTCATGAAGAATTATTCTGTCTAATGTGACTTGACTGATAAGCCAGTAGAGCCCATCATGCCGATATAGGGGGAATCTTACCAGGCTCGTAAGTAAACCATGATTAATCTATCAAGCTATTTGTTTAAACACCTAATTTGATTTATTTATTATTAGTATGCCACCCACCTCAACCAATATTTTTCAAGAAGGAGCACAAATTAAATCATTTAAAATCGTTTTTAAAGGAATTTATAATAAAGATGAATTATTTAAATATTTAGTTGAAGAACCTTCTAAGTTTGAAGGTTGTTCTGGTAGTAGATGTTTTCGTGATGTAGAAAGTGATCTTAAAGCTCAAATAGCTGCTAATAATAAAGGTTTGTAAATTTGTTTCATTCATCAGGAGTTTGAGATTTTGAATGGAACTGAATTGGAGTTTGGTCGTGTGTTGATTATCAGGGGTGGGGTTGATCAATCTCTTGATTAAAGAATATGGACTGAAGACCGTACAAGATTATATGCTGCACGTTAGTAACATAGTCATATCAATACGATTTACCTTCTGATGAGTTTGATATCATATTGATTTGATGGGCTGATCTACATATCATTTCTTCTGACCTTAGATTCGTGATAATGCAGAGTTAGCTGTGCGTAATCTGTTAAAACAAGTAGCTAAGAAGCAAAACACAAGCAAACTACATGCTCTTGAATATCTTGATGATGGTACTCCTTTGGAAATCACCATCACCATCAATGAGCAAGATGGATCTGCGGTATTTGATTTTGAAGGCACTGGTCCAGAATTGATAGGTACTATCGCATCTCTATCTCTCATTTTGTTCAGTATATTAAAACCTTCACCCATTCGTTCATATGAAATCTCCACTCAGGTAATCTGAATACTCCTAAAAGTGTTTCCTACTCAGCCATCATTTACTGTTTACGTGCTATGGTGGATGATGATGTGAGTCAATGTCATTAAAATAAGTCATATCTCATTCGAAACAGGTTATACAATCTTAACCTGAAATCGGTACACTTCCACAGATCCCACTCAATCAAGGATGTTTAAATCCAATAGAAGTCAAAATCCCAATCGGATGTTTCTTAGATCCATCAGATACTGCAGCAGTAGTAGGTGGAAATGTAGAATCAAGTCAAGTGATCACTGGTTTGATTCTCAAAGCCTTTAATGCTTGTGCTGCTAGTCAAAGTACTTGTAATAATTTAACGTTTGGCAGTGGTGGTAAAGATTCTAATGGAAATCATGTTGCTGGATGGGGATACGTATGTGATTTTTTTTGCCTCTCTTAAGATTCTTGTTAGACACGTCCAAGTGGAAAGATTGCTGATTTGTACTGTTGGTAGTATGAGACTATTGCTGGTGGTAGTGGTGCAGGTCCTGGTTGGAATGGTACTAGTGGGGTACACACTCATATGACCAATACACGTATCACTGTCAGTTTATACATACATCCTCTTTTTTCACAATGTCTAGGACTGTCCATCTTTGTGGAACTCAAGACTGATGGGAATTTCGGGTTTTGTTTACAAAGGATCCCGAGATTCTTGAAAGACGTTATCCGGTATTATTACATCAGTTTTCTCTCAGAGAAGGCTCTGGGGGTGCTGGATTCTATACTGGAGGTGAAGGAGTGATAAGAGAATTGGAATTCTTGGAGTGAATATCGTTTACCTTCTTTCTCATCTTCTCCTCTATCTTTATACTCATGTGTGTGTTTTGATAAATATATAGGCCAATTCAATGCTCGATCTTATCAGAAAGAAGAGTTCAAAGACCTTACGGTTTAGAGGGAGGTCAATCAGGAAAAGTAGGACAAAATCTATGGATTAAAAAAACAAGAGAATCAGATGGAGATTTGAATCTAAATAAACCAAATCAAGATAGAATAATTTCATTAGGTGGTAAACAAACTATTAAAATGGGAACAAATGATCGAATCAAAATTATCACTCCTGGTGGTGGTGGTTGGGGAAACGAAAATGATAGGTCAGTTCAAGGTCATCAAATGAATGATAAGAGTCGGGTTGACTTTTTGAGAGGTAGTCTTCAAGATAGAAAAAATACTGCTGAAGGTGCTTGATGTATATTTGAGTTTCATGAATTTTCTTTGAAAGAGAGATTTGTAAAGCAGAATGAATACATGTACATGATAGATCAAGGCTTGAAATCTTGTAAACACGCGTAGAAAATGAAATTTTGTAATATTTTGTAATTTTGTTTCAAGTTTGAAAACACGTTTATGAAAGAAATCAATCATCTTTTGTGTTGGGAGTCATTTGGTCAAAGTTGATATAAAATCCAAGCTTCATGGAGGTAAAATTGATGAGTTCTTTTTGACAATGGATGATTTGGTTTTGTGAAAACTTCAGGCGGAGGAACGCTGAGGCCGGCCGCCGCCCCTTTCTGAGGTGCGCAGCCGGCGCGGTCATGCCGGCGCCCTCTCGCCATTTCAAATCCGCTGACCTGATTGCCTTTACATACACATGCACGTCGTCAGTATTTCGTTACTCAGCTGACGTTTGTTGACCTCTTCCTTGCTTTCTTCGAAGGATATATCGTTTTCCTGTGGCGACGACGTCCCCTATTTCGCTCTATCAATTCGTACTTCAACATCAAGGACACTTGAACTCATCCAAGGTGAGTTGTCTTCAAACACCATCGCACTTCGCCCCTTGTCTTTCTTTGTTTGATTTTACCTTTTCCATCTTTCGCCTTTTCCTTTCTCATCTTCATCGGTTCCTGTGCTACTTCATCACGATTTCATGTCGTACCAACTTCCTCATCCGACTTATTTTGTTGTCTTGCACCAATCTCATGTAACGAGGACACAAAACCCACACTAGTTCTTGATGAGACGTACTCGCATCAAGGCTCATCATCCCCTCTCTGCGTCTTTGTGGTGTGGAGATGAACCCGAAGTATTATTTTGGATCAGGGCGCATACATTAAACCACTGATTCTTTACTCCGATACCTCTGAGTGTGTGGGCAGTCAGAGATGGATAGCCATACCGAGTTCAATAATTTGCTTCAGATTACCCAGAACTGGAAGCTGATCTTTGATAATTTGCACCACCAGATAAGATCGAGATAATGAGTGGAGCTCCCGAGAGTACGATAGTCGCGAAATGTCAGCCTACTTTTCACCGCCATCAATTGATTTCGAAAGAGTGATTTTGACCATCCTTCGACTTTAGATTTTGAACGACATGCCACTGGACCTAACAGTGTTGCATATCACTGTATCATATGTGCTGGAAGATCAATGAAAGATTATACAAGGCATATGAATTCGAAAACACATCAAGACAAGATAGCAAGCTTTCAAGCTCAACTTGAGTTATTCGGACAGGCTGATTGCCAAGTGGCACCAATGTCTTTGGGACCAGGACCAGGTTCAGTGGAGCTTGGTCATTCGAATTATAGCCCATTTCAGGATGAAGAAGAAGACTCGATCGATATCAGTACTGCAACTGCGGTGGTGAACTCTGATGAAGCTCGCGCAAAAAGACCACGAACCTCAGGTCCAGATGGATTGGAAGACAGAGTTATCAATAATTTCATCAGCTATAACACTGATGCCGATCGACTTCCTCAACTGGGTATATCACCTCCTGCCACCTCAAGTAGTACTCCAGCATCCGCTCAGCCTCTCATCCCAGTGCCCAGCCTCAGCACTCCTAGCATGTCAAATATATCGTTACAGAGCTTTAACGAAATCGCGACTGCGTTCAATCTGGATGAGGCACATCGTGAGATGGCCCGTAAAGCCTGTGATGTCAGTGAATCTGTATAATGATTGTTTGGAGTAGAGCAGCATGATGAACATATCTTCGGTTCTAGGTCCAAGGGGTAGAAAACCGTTTCTTTGCCACGATGTGCTACATGACAATGATTCATCAGGATCTCAGTTCTACCTTACAAGTACGGCAAGCTACTCGAGCATCCGGCTCGTCAGCCGCAGCGAACACATGGACGGCAAATGAAACTTTTCGGGTAAGTGAGAATACATTCTTCAATGTATGGATTCATAACTGACAAATGGGTGTATCAGGATTGGGCTCGTCATAATTTGGCCAAACTTATAACGGATCATTCCTTGGAAGCATACACTACGACCACAGATGCAAATAAACAACCGATACCGCGATCTTTTGAGAGACTAATGATGGTAAGCAGCAACCAAGCCATCAACCTTGATCTAATGCGTCCTGACCATCATTTGTCTGTTCTTTTTTACTGGAACAATAGCAACTCATTAGATCACAATCTAAATCATTCATAGATGTGAATCTGCCTCCTGGGTTTGGTAGCGAAGATCCTAAGCCATCTGAACTAGTTTTAAAGGTCATCAAAGATCTTGCTAAGCACGCACGTAGTAATTTCCGCTCCATCGTAAGTCTAGATTATACTCAATCGCTTGTTGAAATACTTCTGACTGATTTATCATCTTCTAAAGCTCTTGATGAACATACTCCCTGAAAGCGGTAAATCTTCTACATCGCCGGTACCGGCACTTAAACAAATTGTTGGCAGAGTGCGTGACCCAATAATGATTTCAAAGAGATATGTTTTGATGAAGAACTCCTTCGACGAAAGCAGATTGTCAGATCACATGCCATGAAGACGGAATTTCGGACGGATGATGAAATTGAAAGATCCGTTCTGCCAGAGCAGAAGTTACGCTATGCGTGGCTGGTGAGTGTATTGTTTAACAAGATCTGAACTTCACAACATTCTGACTATCCCAAATCGTATCAGCGAATGGAAGCGATCCACTTTCATAAATGTCCCGAATCGAATGGGCGACGTTCACAATGGTCTGCCATTGATGAAAGACTGGCGATACTAGGCTCCAAGCCATATCGGTTTCAGGAAACGTAGGTCCTCTTATCCCCTCTTGAGCATTTAGTAAGTAAGGAATCTCATCTGACTCAAATCATTCGATGTAGCTTTTATAATCTTGTTCTACAAAGAGACACTATTCTATTTGATGGAACCAAGACGTATGATCAATTACAAAAAACATCTCAATTTGATTTACCAACTGATGCAGAGGTTGAAGCTGGAATGTCTGATATAATGCGAAATGTAGCTCCAGCAAGCGTTTTACAGGGTGCTACACTACAATAGTGTTCGTCTTCATAGTGAGATCTTGTAGCTTCTTTGTTTTGAATTTTTTTGGCAAGGACCCAAAAATGTTTTGTGACTCAATTTATCACTGATGATTTTGTTTTTCCCAATGGTACATTTTCAATTCTAGAATGAAGCTGTTTACTTGTAGTTTTTTGTCTTTCCAAACACATGTTTTTTATTTAACACACGTTTTCTATTTACAAAAAAACAAGATTCTGTCATTGTGAAATTTGTTCTGATGTAATTCTTAGGAGTAAATAAACATGAGACTGTTGATCATGGGCTCAAGTTTGGATGATTACAGAGAGGGATTGAGTGTTAGTTATGATGAGGATGAAAATTTTCTTAAAAAAAATAACAAGAAAGTATCTGGAGTAGTGGTGCATGCTACTAGACAGGTTCAACCAATTTCACCCTGGTGGCTTGGGTTACAACGTTTTCCGCAGTACTCGTAATGCACGTAAATTTGACCAAAACGGGAAAGCTTTATCCCGTTTGCTCAAGACGTAAACATCTAAGACTAGAGGCAAACGAGTACAAAAGCCTCGATCATGGTTCACCGGTTATTGTACGACCGGAGATATTTCTTTTCCGGCGAAAACGTAAAACAAAACCCGCTGTTATTGTTTTTGATCGCAAAAAGCTGAATTTGACACCCGCTCTGAGAAATATGACTTTGAGGTGCCCCATAGAGAAGTGTTGATTTTAGGACCAAATTCTCCAAATGAAGCTGTCTTACCAATAGATATAGCAGAGGTACAATCAAGTTGTGAATTGAAACTTTCAACTATTAATGTGGTCATTCAGTGTGAATATTCCACAATCATGAAACAATATTGACAAGGATCATTGAGATGGATTATTGTAAGTTGGCAACGCAAAAGATGCTGATGAGTTTACTGTTGTTCTCAAAAAGCTTGTCCAAATTTCCCGCAAAACTCGAGCAGTTTGGCGCGGAATTTTCGGCAAGCTTGGTAAGAATGAAAATCACACAAATCTCAATTGGTTGATGCAACACATCATGGAAAGATGGACATTTGTAAGAGAGATATGTGAAGAGAGGTTTCAAGAGAGTTTCAGATAACAAGGCTTGGTATAAAGCCACCCATCTTTTTTTCCTTGATAAAATGACTCAAGTCACTTTTTTCTTCATATCCTCAGAAAACAAACTCATCATTACCCTTGTGTGCCAATTGCAACATGGCCAATAGCTTCTTCTGGATTGCACTCTTACTTGCAAGTTTTTCTTCTTCCCCAGTCCTAATGGATCCTGTTGGGGACTATATCCGTGAGTTTGGCCATATACTCAAATAACCTCAAATCCTGGGCTGGATCCGCTAATCAGGGATCGGATAGCTGTGCCCAAAGAAGTCCATCAAATCACAGACTTCTTAACTTCTGCAGTTCTGGACCCAAATTTTTCTGGATATTCTGGAGCTGAGGCCACACTGATGGAAATAATTCCGGAGGATGCAAAAATCCGTGTAGATGGGGTTGACATGAATCGGGAAGGTAGGTTTCAGTGATACGTTACTCCTCTCAATGGTGTCTTGCAAAAGCTGATAACAGTCCATCCGACATATAATTTGTTGAAAATCATTTTGAGATCAATAGACTTTATTGAGCGTGCAATGGATGATGATTATCGCGCCATAAACAAAATGATCAAGGGTAAGCCCCAAACTCAGAGTCATCCAAGAATGTGGAATTTATGAATCATGTCAAATGTAGACAGCGAGACCCAACATCATGATACAATTCTGATCATGCAGAAAGAGCAGGGTGATCCCGTCAAGACTGAATTCAATGTGCTTTTCAAGCGTCAAGGCACTAGGGGAAACGGGGAGGGAACACAACCAGTTTACAAGCTCACCAAGGTTTCTCTGCGCATGTTATAATCGATTGTGTCATCCCAAGAAACAGCTCTACAAACACAAGAAATTTCAATAAATCTATTGAGCACCTCAGTTGGGATGGTATGTTTTTCCTATAATTACCAGTCAAAACCAATGTAATTTTGTCTTCATGATCTTGTGTGAATGTAACTGAATGATGCAGCTGGGGTGATACCATCATACTGTGTGTGTATTACCCCAGCTGAATCATTTAGTTACAGTATTACCCCAGCTGCATCATTTAGT